CAGGATCTTGTTTTGTCATTCAGCCTGCAGTGTAGTGGCATGATTATAGCTCACTGTAGCTTCAACCTCCTGGGCTCAAGTGATCCTCCACCTCAGCCTCTGAAGTAACTGGGACTACAGGGGTACGCCAACATGCCCAGCTAATTTTTAAATTTTTATTTTAAAGATGGGAGCCTCACTATGTTGACAGGGCTGGTCTTGAACTCCCGGCCTCAGGTGATGCTCCGTCCTCAGCCTCCCAAAGTGTTGGGATCACAGGCGTGAGGCACCCCAGTGGCCAGAAAACAAGCATGGTAAACACCAAGTAACATCTTAAGAGCGCCTGCTATTGGGGGTGGGTGCATTAACGGAGCTCTCGAACCCCTGTCTGCTCTGGGCTTACAATCTACATGGATAACCAAATGCGCTCCAGGAAGTTACACAGCACTAAAAATACACTTGCATTCATATTACACTTCACAGGTCACAAAAATCTTTCATATGACTTATCTCCTGTGATCCTCACAACAGCCCCCTGTTTATAGAGAGCATCAGAAAGGATAGGCCGGGCGCGGTGGCTCAAGCCTGTAATCCCAGCACTTTGGGAGGCCGAGACGGGCGGATCACGAGGTCAGGAGATCAAGACCATCCTGGCTAACACGGTGAAATCCCGTCTCTACTAAAAATACAAAAAACTAGCCGGGCGAGGTGGCGGGCGCCTGTAGTCCCAGCTACTCAGGAGGCTGAGGCAGGAGAATGGCGTGAACCCGGGAGGCGGAGCTTGCAGTGAGCTGAGATCTGGCCACTGCACTCCAGCCTGGGCGAAAGAGCGAGACTCCGCCTCAAAAAAAAAAAAAAAAAAAAAAAGAAAGGATGAGTGATGTTACGGGTCACGCAGACAAGCAATGGCCGAATTACTAGCCTCCGAAGGACTGTCACCAGATTGGTCACCGTGGAGTACCAAGTAGTGCTGCTGCATAAAGGCAACACTGAGAGATGAAGCCCCTTTCTCCAGCATCTGTGTGGGTGGAGGGCCAGGGATCCTGTCTGTTACGCACATTGAACAAACTCAAGTTTTGCCATCCACTGGGCGTCCTGCAGCACAGCGGTGTGGGCGCATCTCCAGGACCTCTCCCTACGGGGTATGCCCCTCATCTTGTGGGGATCGGTGCTGCTTCCAGGCCTCTCAGTCCGGACTGAGTTGGGAACCCTGTCTGCGTCCCCGGGCCGGGCTCGCAGCCAATGACTCCGCTCGGCCTAGGGAGGCGGCAGAGAGCCCATCGGGCTCCTCCTTCTCTCTAGTCTCTATGGCGGAAGTGAGTTGTCCCAGCCGAAACACCCCAGCGTTCTCGGTGGTGGGTTGAATGGACTCGTCCACATAAGGGGGATCATCATCACCATCAAATCTTAAAATCCAAGACATAACCACGAAAAGAGCAGCCCCCAGATAGAGAGCAACACATAACTATTTGTGTGTGCTCCTGTGACTACGCGGATGATGTGGGCGGCTATATGCATGCGAGGACCCGGCTAGCCGGGTACGTGCCCCCTCCGGGGCCACGGGATCCGGTGAGCCTCCCGGCGCGCGGGGGGCGGTGCGGCTTCCGGTCCCGGCTCGGCCTCCGACCCAGGTGGTCTGGAGCCTGCCGGGAGAGTGGTGGCATCTCAGAGGCTGGTTGCGGACGGGGGTTGGGGGAGGTGGGAGCTGTTTTAACCGTCTCCCCCCTCTCCTGTGCCGGCGTGGGCATCCCCTGGGGCGGCGGAACGGGGGCCCTCCTCCAGCTTCCGAGTCCAGCCAGCCTGGGCGCGGGGCGCCGCCCCCGAGACACCCGAGGAGTCCGCTCTTCCCTGATTACGTGGACGGTAGAGGTTTGCTCGTAGTGGCGGCCGGGGGTACGGGACCCGGGCGGGAATTCCTTCCTGCGTCCGTCCCGAGTCTCTTGATATGAAGCCAAGTAAGCTTTCTGGTTTTGCTTTTAGCCGGCCTCTTGTGGTTCAGCGCCGCGTGGAGGTTGACGCGTACCTGCGGAGGTCGCACCTGGGCGTGAGGAGGAGGAGGAGGAGGAAGGGCATGAGCCGAGCTTGAGGAATCCGTGCTCCAAACTCTACACTCAAGGTGGGAATTGGCGCACCCTGTGCTCCGACCAAGCTTGAGAAGAAGGCGGCTGTTAATCTCTGCAACTCGGGGGGACCAGAGGGACGAGACTTGCCAGACCCTACTCTGGTGGACCCTGCTGCTCACTGCTCACTGTGTGGTACAGGGGACAACAGGGTTTTCACAGACCAAATGTGGCTGCTGTGGGAAGGAGAATGGGGTTGGTCAGGACTGACTTCTTGGAGGAGTGGATGCTAAAATAGCACGTAGAGTGAGGGAGGAGCCCAGGCTTGGGGCACAAGTGAGATGTATGGCTTGTATGAACGATTGAGGGGGACACAAGAGGGAGAAGTCGTGGAAGAAAGGGAGCCAGACCAGAGCCAGGAGTCTCCAGATGGGAAGAAGACTGCTGGATGGAGTGGAACTGGAGGGCAAAACGAGCAAGAGAGCCCTTCTCATTCTTGATCCAGGCATGTAGAAGAAACTAATCTAGCTACCCCTGGAAGGACCTGGAATTCCTGGCTTGGGATGAATTGAGTAGTTGTTTTGTACAAAGTACTAGGAATTACCATTATAGTGATGAATGGAATATAGTCTCTGCCTTTTAAGCAGAATATAGGAATTGTCTGCCTAGTGGTAGAAACAAAAACAAAACGTGATGTTGCGTGATAGTACAGGTAGACGCGAGCTGATCGCCAGGTGAGAGGCAGAGCTGGCCTGATCTCTGTGCAGTCCACAGACTGTTGCCCTGTATCCTGTGCTGAGCAACAGTTTAAAAGGGGGCAGACACAAACTGAAATATATTTTTTATTTTCACCGTCTGTCAACCAGATGAGTGAAATACACTTAGAAGAGAGCTGCCAGGATTCCATGCAGATAAGATGTGATGTGGAACAGGCATGATTTTGAGGACTGGGGACCTTCAGCCTGTAGAAAGGGTGAGGGGGTGGTGGAACAGCTGCCCCTAAATAAAAACTCACTTGTGGAAAAGAGGTGAGACTTTATGTGGCTTTGGGTACCAAAACTAAAACTAAAAGTAGTTTGAAGCACTAAGAGACAGATTCTTCAGTAGAAAGAATAACTGGACTGGGTGCGGTAATCCCAGCACTTTGGGAGGCCAAGGCAGGTGGATGTCTTGAGCTCAGGAGTTCGAGACCAGCCTGGGTAACATGGCGAAACCTTTTCTCTACCAAAAATACAAAAAATTAGCCAGGTGTGGTGGTGTGCACCTGTGTTCCCAGCTGCTGGAGAGGCTGGGATGGGAGCCTGGGAGGCGGAAGTTGCAATGAGCAGAGATTGTGGCACTGTACTCCAGCCTGGGTGATGGAGTGAGACCCCATCTCATGAATAAAATAAATAAATAAATCAGAATAACTGAATAGAACTTCCTGAACATTGAGTGGTTGTTGTGAGAGCTAGTGAATTCCCTGTCAGGGGAAGTTTGCAAGCTGAATACTCTGAGTTATAAGGAACTTGAAGTTCCCTCTCCCTCTGGGCATGTATTTAGTTATTTCCTATGTTCTGGTTCTCAAGTCTCTTGTCTCTCCTTCCCACTCCCTCTACCACTACTGTTGTATAGCCTTGCGTCATCTCTTGGCAATAACAATGTACTAATGAATACTTAGTGGATGTTTACTACTTGTCAGATACTGCTTTTAGTGTTTTATACATGCTAACTCATTCAGCCCTCAACCCTTTCAAGGTAGCCATTATTATCTCTTTTGTATATATGGCAGATAGGTGTTAAGTAACTTGCCCAAGATCATGAGCATGGAGCAAGTGGCAGACCTGGAGTTCCAGTCCATGTTGTATGACTTTCAAGTCATCGTTTTTAACCACTATTCTACTGTATTTTACATGTGTTACCTTAATTCTCACTGCTATCCCCGTTTACAGATAAGAAGTTCAGAGAGGTTGAGTGATTTGCTTAAAGTCACAGAGCAAGATGTAGATGGGGTGAGATTCAAACCCAGGACTCTAGGGCATGAAAAACCCCCACACCTGATTATGCTGCCTTCTGTAACTACATCTACTGTAGTGGTCTTTAACTGACTTCCCTGCCCAGCCTTTGTGCCTTAAATCCACAAGTTTTTACCCTGGAGTCTGTGGATGTGGGTGTCCCTAGAAATAGGTGAGATTTGGTATGTGTGTGTGTGTCATGTTTTTAAAGCCCAGCCTTCATGGCTTCATTGACTTCTCTGAGTAGTTTGTGACCCCAATACAGTTTAGAGCCATTCTTTGCCCTTTAGCCAGAGGTACTTTTCTCTTTTTTTGAGTTTATTTTATTACTTTGTTATTTATTTATTTATTTTTGAGACAGGGTCTCACTTTGTCACTCAGGCTGGAGCACAGTGGCATGATCTCAGCTCACTGCAGCCTCAGCCTCCCATGTTTAAGTTATCCTCCTGCCTCAGCCCCTCAAGTAGCTGGGACTACAGGTGCCTGCCACCAGGCCCAGCTAATTTTTTGTATTTTTGGTAGAGATGGGGTTTTATCATGTTGCCCAGGCTGGTCTTGAACTTTTGGCTCAAGTGATTTGCCTCAGCCTCCCAAATTGCTGGGATTAATGTGAGCCACCACACCTGGCCCAGAGGTACTTTTCTGATGCACAGATTTGATCTTGGCACAGTGCGCTGCTCTTAGGACAGAGTTCAAATGCCTTAACCTGTTCATTCAAGGTCCGAGGAAATCAAACTCGTCTTTCTGTACTTCTTACTCCCACCCTGTACTCTCTCCATGGTGATAATGTTTAGTTGCCTGCTTTTCCTTCATTCTGTCAGCCTGAGGGCAGGGGCCGTGCTTGCCTTTGATGTCTAGTACCTGACAAAGGTTGCACAGTGAGCATCTGCTGTAAACTACACTGAAGGTTGTAAAGTGGAATCCCGGCCTGTCGTTTGGACTGATAACTTTGCAGCTCTTGCGCTTTCTGATCCTGAGAGTTGATGATTCTCTGATAGTCTGTGCTGCCAAAATGCAGAGAAGGGCCAGTGGAGGCAGAGGCCGAGCTGAGCCTAGAAGGAAGTGAACAGATAACATGTGGACTTGTCAGCATTCTGACCTGGGCTCCTCTTGCAGGGTGGCCCTTGGGTAGGGTGAAGATCCCTTGTCTTTATCCTTGTTCCCCACCTTGGTGTGGGTTACTGGGTGCAGGATGAACTGTCGCTCGGAGGTGCTGGAGGTGTCGGTGGAGGGGCGACAGGTGGAGGAAGCCATGCTGGCTGTGCTGCACACGGTGCTCCTGCACCGCAGCACGGGCAAGTTCCACTACAAGAAGGAGGGCACCTACTCCATTGGCACCGTGGGCACCCAGGATGTTGACTGTGACTTCATCGACTTCACTTACGTGCGCGTCTCTTCTGAGGAACTGGATCGTGCCCTGCGCAAGGTTGTCGGGGAGTTCAAGGTAAGGGTGTGGCACAGCGGATGGCGGGGCCTAGGGTGCCCTCCACCCCAGCTTGTTGTTGAACCAGCCTCTTCTTCCTGAGTGTGTGAATCGGGTTCTTTCAGGTTCTGAGAAACAGGCGTGTTGAGAGCTCCTCTTCAGGGGAGGGCGTGTGTGTGTGCGCGCGAATGGTGGTGAGGGAGGGAGACACTCATAAATGTGCTTGGGGGAGAAGGAAGAACAGGAAGCTGAGCAGTGTTGGTGGCCAGGCCCCCTGGGGCCATCCTTGCTTCTGTGGTCTTGACCTTCTCTCTGACTACGGCTCTCTCTGCTTCTGTTTCCACTTTTCCTTTCCCACATGAAACTCCCCCAGAGGGTGGCTTGCTTGGCTCAGGTGGCTGCCATCCACAGATCTGTTTTGGCGGTGTGGCATTGTGTGCCTGGGTGGAAGAAAGATGTGGAAGGGACATGGCCGGCTGCTGCTGTTGGTCACCTCAGGAGGTGGAAGTGGTAGTGTGGTTCTCCTCTGGTCTTTGTTCAGAGTCACAGTGTTTGACCATTTCATTGAGTGGGTACTTTTAAATTTTAAAGTAGCGAAGATAATTTTTCTTTTTTCCTTTTTTTTTTTTGAGACACAATCTCACTGTGTCACCCCAGTCTTGAACTCCTGGGCTTGAGCAGTCCTCCCACTGCAGCCTTCCAAGCAGCTGGGACCACAGGTGTACACCACTACCACCACACCTGGCTAATTTTCGACGATTTTTTTTGCCAGGCCTGGTGGCTACGCCTGTGGTCTCAGCACTTTGGGAGGCTAAGGTGGCCAGATTGCTTGAGCCCAGGAGCTCAAGACCAGCTCCGGAAACATGGCGAAACTCCGTCTCTACAAAAAATACAAAAATTAGTGGGACGTGGTGGCACATGCCTATAGTCCCAGGTGCTTGAGCAGCTGAGGCAGGAGGATTGCTTGAGCTTAGGAGTTCGAGACTGCAGTGAGCCATGATCACGCTACTGTACTCCAGCATGGGTGACAGAGCAAGACCCTGTCTCCAAAAAAAAAAGAATTTTTTTTGGTACAGATGGGGTGTCACTGTGTTTCCCAGGCTGATCTTGAACTCCAGGCTGGTCTTGAACTACTGGCATGAGCCTAAAGGCATCTGCTCTGGGGTTAGAACACAGGGGAGCTGTGTGTCTGACTTTCATTCCATAAATACTTGCAGAGCCCTTCACTGTGTTGAGTACTGTGTGCTCATTGCAGTGGATTGCCCAGTGTCAGGCGAAAGCTGTCCCTCATTGTCCTGCCAAACCCAGAAAGGGCAAGTTCATCAGCGGTTTCCCAGTCACCCTCAAGAGCAGCAGCAGCTCTCAGCTCTCTGTCCTCTAGGTGTCCGTAAGAGGCAAGTGGAGCAGAGTGGTGAAGAGCATAGGCTTTGGAGCTGCACTCTACCACCCAGCAAGTGTGTGACCTTGGGCTAGTGGTTCCACTCAAAATTGGAATAGTAATCCCACCTGCCTCAAAGGGTGTGTGCACTGCAAGGACTGAATAAGTCAAATATGCCCAGTGTTTGGAACAGAACCTGGCACACAGTAAACATTAGAGATACTCATTCAAGGTTACTTGACCTTGGTTTGTCAATGAAGGAGAGCCTCTTCCTGATGAGTGTGGTTCAGGATTTCAGGCATCCTTACCCTCTGGGTTGGCATTAACTCAGATGGAAAGGAGCTTCAGGGTCCTGGCTGCCCTAGGAAGAGGAGTATGGGACCACCCACACCCATGGGGTGGCAAGGGCAGAATCATTGGACTGGATGGTCCTGTTTGCTTCTCAGGGAAGAAGAGGGAGAAGCACCAGGTCTGGTCTGTCCTTCAACTTCCCTTCCCCATTCTGTTGCTTGGTTTCCCTCTTTTTTAACAAGGATCACTGGGCTCTACAGTTCCCTCTTCCTGCGCTCATAAAAGAGACTGTGAACTGGGCGCAGTGGCTTGCAACTGTAATCCCAGCACTTTGGGAGGCTGAGGCAGGAGGATTGCTTGAGCCCAGGAGTTCGAGACCAGCCTGGATAATGTAACAATACCCCATCTCTAACAAAATAAAAAAAATTAAAAATTAGCCAAGTGTGCCTGTAGTATCAGCTACTCAGGAGGCTAACATGGGAGGATCGCTTGAGCCCAGGATTCCGAGGCTGCAGTGAGCCATGATTGCTCCACTGCCCTCCAGCCTGGGTGACAGAGTAAGACCCAGTCTCTTTAAAAAATATCGAAAGAATTATGTTTAATTGGCAGTGGAGAAGACAAATAGTTTACAGGGGAAGAGGGAGATGTTGATGAGGTGATTAGAACATTTTGAAGGATATGGGCTAAAGAGGTGGTGTGGAAGGAGAAGGCCCTTAATGCAATGTAAAGGTGAAAAGCAAGGATTTAGAAATCAGACAATCCAGATTCAAACCCTGGTCCAGCCATCCATAGGCATGTGACTCTTGCAAGTTACCTTACTTCTCTAAGCCTCATCGTGCCTTGGTGAAAGCTCATGGGGTTGTTGGGAGGAGCCAGTGGAATTGTGTATGTTAAGTTCCTGGCACAGAATATGTGCCTGCAGACCAGTAGTTATTCCTGTAATATCAGTTCTTCACCAAGCTGGAGGAATTGGGCTTGGAGACGGATTTTGTTGGTTTGCTTGAACTACACAATTTCAGGTTGGCAGTTTGCTGTGTCACTTCACCCAAATCGTTTACCCTCTCCCAGTCTTGTTTCCTTGCCATCCCTGGATGATTACTAGAGCTAAGAGAGCATAATTCCCTGGGGTGTGGGAAGCAGGCCCTCACAGGTGGAAACTCAGAGGCCTTGGCATGCTCATTCGTTCCCTTCTTCCCCAGGATGCGCTGCGCAACTCTGGTGGTGATGGGCTGGGGCAGATGTCCTTGGAGTTCTACCAGAAGAAGAAGTCTCGCTGGCCTTTCTCAGACGAGTGCATTCCATGGGAAGTGTGGACGGTCAAGGTACATGTGGTAGCCCTGGCCACGGAGCAGGAGCGGCAGATCTGCCGGGAGAAGGTGGGTGAGAAACTCTGCGAGAAGATCATCAACATCGTGGAGGTGATGAATCGGCATGAGTACTTGCCCAAGATGCCCACACAGTCGGAGGTGGATAACGTGTTTGACACAGGCTTGCGGGACGTGCAGCCCTACCTTTACAAGATCTCCTTCCAGATCACTGATGCCCTGGGCACCTCGGTCACCACCACTATGCGCAGGCTCATCAAAGACACCCTTGCCCTCTGAGCCTCGCCGGATCCCTGGGAGCTCCTTGATGGCTCCCAGACCTTGGCTTTTGGGGATTGTACTATTGGGCCTTTGGCTCTGCTGCCTGCTTGGGGTCGTTGGTGAGACTTGGAAGGGGCAGCCCTCGCTGGCTTCTTGGTTTTGTGGTTGCCAGCCTCTGGTCATCCTTTTAATCTTTGCTGACGGTTCAGTCCTGCCTGTACTGTCTCTCCATAGCCCTGGTGTGGTCCCCCTTCTTTCTCCACTGTACAGAAGAGCCACCACTGGGATGGGGAATAAAGTTGAGAACGTGAGTTTGGGCTGAGCCATCTCTCCCTTTTGTTGTTTCTGCCCTGATGTGTTAACACTTTCTGGCATTCCTCTGAGGACACAGATGTGTGTGGAGGGCATTGCTCCAAGATGAGAGGGGTGGGTGGATGGGATTAAAGATGTATTAAAATGGACAGATTTTGCACTTGACTGGCTATTCACACAAAGCAGGTGTTACCCAGATGTGGCCATAGCCAATCCCATGAATGAAGGTGCATGGTAGGGTGAGGGTCTGTTGCTTTTGGATGTGACTGAGCTGCTCCTCCCTTCCCCCCCCACCAATCGACTCCCTATTTCAACACTTCCAAACTCACTTTCCTCTTTTTTTTTTTTTGTAAACTTTTGTTTTGCAGATTATTTTATCACCCAGGTATTAAGCCTAGTACCCATTAGTTATTTTTCTGATCCTCTCCCTCTTCCCACCCTCCAGAAAGCCCCAGTGTGCGTTGTTCCCCTCTGTGTGTCCATGTGTTCTCGTCATGTAGCTCCCACTTACAAGTGAGAACATGTAACGTGATAACATGTTGGTTTTCTGTTCCCGTGTTATCTCCACCTTTTCTAAGGAAGCTATGACATCCCTGGCCTTTATGTTGTCTGGTCTTGCTTCACCGTGGCCCCAGAGAGTACCTTCTCTGTCTTCATAGAGCACACAGATCCCCATGTGCACCAGAAAGGTCATTTGATGTGGGTCATGTCTGGAGACAGATTGGCCAACTTGAGATAGTCTGGTATCTGGTGACACTTCTTCCAGCTTGGGCTGGTCATTGCCTCCATCACTCACATTCATTTCTACACCCGCATACTCAAGCCCCCATTGTGTGCTATGCTCTCATCGATACAGTCCATGCTTTACAATGCTTTTTGGCTGCTTCTGGGCCAGTTCTAACCAGACTAAATGAGGTGTGTGTAGGGAGGGATGCTAAGGGAGAAATGGGGTGGGAGTGGGGTATCTTGTCCATGGTCCTGGAGCAGTGTAGGTAGTCAGGATGACCAGGAAGTGTTTGCACTTGGAATGCGTTTTTCCCATTCCAAGTTACCCTTGGCCATGTGATGTTTCTACTCTTGATCTCTGGGTCATCAGAGAGTTGGAGGACTCAGGAGGGGGGTTTATAGTTGAAGAAGGCCAATTTCTAGCAAGTCCTTGATAGCATGAGACACCCCACTTGGCCTGCTGCGGTCTGGGGACTCTTCTTGTTTTCCTACCAGACGGCCATCAGCTGATCTAATCCCTTCTGAGGGGACTGGTACAGGTGTTGGCTGGCAGTGACTTTATTTTTTAAAAGAGGACTCAAGGCTTGCTACAGAATTTGCAACAGAATTGTACAAGAATTGCTACAGGTCCAGCTACAGACCTGGCAGGAGGGTCTTGCCTCTCTGTCCGCTTTTCCAGTCTCTCTGCTTTTCTGCAGCTGAACTCTGCTTCACAATCCCACCCTGGCTTGGCTGTGGGACACCTAGCTGGCAATGGGCCATCCTGGTAGACAGGACAGTAATATTCCCCTCCCTTATGGCATTGCGATTTTCTGAAGTGGGGGACTGATTTATCCGGAGTCAGGACTGGAGTCCTGGTGGATCAAATCTGTGCTCTCCCATTGGTCTGTAAATGTGACTCTTCTTGGCCTATGGGGCCTGAGAAAAGGAGTGGAGGTGGGCCTTGAATTCCCCATGCTCTGCTCTGCTCTGCTGTACCTGAATGTCCCCCTGCTGTGGAGTGTGCAGGAGGCGTTGGCCTGCTTGTCCAGCTCCAGGAGGCTTCTGAAGGGGATGATGGACGAGGAAGGGTGGGACTCACTCTTATGGCTGCCCATGTGCCTCCTGGCTCAGCAGCCACCTGGGCCCCCTAGCACCATAGAACTTTGGTCTCGGGACAAAAAACTCAAGAATGGGGACAATCACCTTTGTCTTGTGTCCTGCTCAGAGGGGCAGCACCCCAGCCTGCAGCTGGGATGGGGTCTGAGGATCTTCTCAGGACTCTGCCTAGGTGTACCTCTTGGCCCACTTTGCGAAGGGGAGGGACTCTTGGGGACATGGCTTCTGGTTTTGGCTGACTGGACTCGCATGGGGGTGCCTGTGGGCCTTGGGGATGAGAAGAAATACGATGGGCCCAGAGTCTGGGCCTGTGGAGAAAGGGCCGTAGCCACAACGGCTGGAGCTCTTTGTCTAGGAAGTGCCCGAGCGCTCTGTGCAAGGGGTAGGGGCGTAGGGCGCCTGGGGTCCGCCCCTTGGTTCCCTCCCCCCGACGCAGCCTCCGGCCCGCCCGCCAGTCTGGGCTCCCGCACATCTGGCGATCCCGCCACATCTGGGCAGCCGGCGCTGGAGCATGAACGGCTCTCAGGCGGGCGCGGCGGCTCAGGCCGCCTGGCTGAGCTCCTGCTGTAACCAGTCGGGGTCGCCGCCAGAGCCCCCCGAGGAGCCGCTCGCGGTGCAGGCGGCGGTGCTCGGCGTGCTGTCCCTGCTGGTGCTTTGCGGGGTCCTGTTCCTGGGCGGCGGCCTCCTCCTCCGCGCCCAGGGCCTGACAGCGCTGCTGACCCGCGAGCAGCGCGCGTCCCGCGAGCCCGAGCCCGGCAGTGCCAGCGGAGAGGACGGCGACGACGACGACTACTCCTAGGCGTCCAGCTGCGCTCGGAGGTCGCGGTCTCCAGGCGGCCCCTGACTCCCAGCGGTCCGGAGCATGCCCGACGGCTGCTGCGGTCGCAATCCCTTACCCGAAGCGGCGCGCCCCACACAGGTGAGAGGGAGGGTAGCGGGAGTGTGGGCGCGGGGGTCCGGGGGGCTACAGTAGCTTCCTTACTGAGGAGGCTTCTTGGGGCGCAGCAAGGCACCTGTCTGGGGAATGGGCTCTTCAGCGACTCCGGTTCCCACCTCTGTAAGTCCACGGCCGGCCGGTGGGGCTGCAGCCACCCAGGTGTGCGGAATCAGGAGGAGGCCGCCCCGCCCGGGATTGTGTCTCCTGCAGCTCCGGCCCCCTCCTCCCATCTTAAATGTTCCAGCATTAAGCTTTTTTTCTAGGAACAGAGGCTACTGTGTAACTGTGGGGTGGTTGTGGAGGCAGGAGGATGACAGAGGAGGGAGTCTAGAGGCCACAGTGTGCTTTGGGGGCTTCTTCCTTAGCCCCCACCCTCAACCCCACGGTCTGCATCTGCCCCGGCCCCTATAGGTCCTAGGCCCAACTCTGCGGGCCCCAGCACTGCCCACTCCACGGGGCTGAGGAGATAGGCAGACAGCACCAGCCTTTGGCCTCAGCTGCCTGAAACCTTTTCCCTGGAAGGGGGCTTGTGGGAGATTCCTTGCCTGGCCTCCCTCTTGAGACAGGGAGAGGAGTGTGGTCATGTTTGAGGGCAGAGCCAGGGGCCTGGGTGGCCCTGGGGAATGGGGAGGTGTGTGGAAGGCCCTTCCCTGGACCCTGCTCAGGTCGTGGGGGCGGGGGGGAGGGGTGAGGGGTGGGGGAGTAGATGTAGCCCAGACAAAGAGCTTTGTGTGGTGTGTGTTGCGGGGTGTGGATGGCAGGGTTCCTGACAGCTGGGGGGCCTCAGAAGCGCTGCTCCAGGAAGTAGGGCTGAGGACTCCCAGCTGTGGGGGCTCTGTCTGGGTGTCTCGCTCTGTCTTTCCAAGGACAGGAGCCATCTGGAGGGAAGGGCCTGGGTGGCCTGAGGACAAGGTAACTACAGGTGAAAGCCACCTGGGACAGCCACAGGGACTGGAGAGGCCTTCTCTGTTCCTTCCCTCTGTTCAGCTTTGCACCTAGGAGCCCCTGGGGGTTTCTGTGGGTGGAAGTGTTTGTTTGTCAGGGGTGACTTTGGCCTCTCTTGCCCCCTCCCCGATTCTAGAGCCCCTGCCCTGCTTATCTGGGGTAGGGCAGGGTCCCAGTTTCTATCCGAGAAACGAGTCAGGCTGGGTGCCTGTGAGGGGCAGGGGAAGGATGCTGGCAGGTGCAGCTAAGCAGCTGCGAAGCTGAAGACGACGTGTGATCCCTGCCCAGCAGCCCAGGATTTGGCGCTAATCCTGGGCAGCGGCGCCACACTGGCCTTGCTGAGCCAGGGACTTCTCACCTCAGGGTCCCCTCCTATCCCCTACCCTGCCCCCTAGGAGGGAGGGTTGTCCAGCACCCTGAGGGGTGTGTGTGGTGTGTCTGTTACTGCACCTGGCACAAGCAGGGGGTTGGGCCCAGGGGACATTCCCCCCCTCCCTTTGCTGGGGGAGAGGGTGGGAACTTCCTCTCTTGATTATACCCGGTTTCACCCAGCTGCCTTGCCTGTCACCCTCTGGCCCCACACTCCTCTCCTTTCCCAGCTGGGAGAGAGGGTCTCCAGATCACTGGGAACCCCTTCCTTTTATACATGGGGAAGCTCAGAGAACAGTAAGTGACATGCTTACATTAATGACAGAGCTGGAAGCAGACCCTGGCCCTGATTCCAAGTTCAAGCCCCATTCTGGCGCTTGGGGGCCCCTCTTGCTCTGTCCTCTTCCCTTCCCTGCTTTCTCATCACTCTTGAGATGCTGGTGCAAAACGCGGCCTCTCTTCATACATTTGCGAATCAGGGATGGACCCCCAAACCCCTGTGTCACTGCCCCCTTCCCATCCCGCTTCCCTGGGGCCCTGCCTACCTTCTTGCTGTGGGGAGCAGTCTTCCAGATGCCGGCAGCAGCTCCTCAGCCAGCTGGGCTCAGCTTTCCTGGCCTGAACCTGAGGGGGGATGGGCTTAGAGGGTCAGCTGGAATAAACATCCGTGGAAAAAAAATCCCAGCGGTCAGAGCTGAGGGATCAGGGCCGAAGGCTGATGACCTTCCGTTTGGCCTTTGGGCTCAAGTTCCCGTGGTGTGAGGGTATAGAGTGATTTGGTGTTAGGAAGGGCTGTGCCCCCAGCATCATCGTGTCTGCTCACACCCAGGACAGGGCTGGGGCAGGGGTGTAGAGGTGGGGGCAAAGGCTTTCTTCATCCAACTTCCTCCTGTTGCTGTTTCTGAGCCTAGTGCTTGGAGGGCAGGGCGTGGGGT